AGCAGCAGAAGTGGAGTTCTTCCTACACTAAAACCGATTCCCTCCGCCGGTCCACGGCGGCTCCCGCGTGACGCCCCCGGCTCGCTCTGACTGGAAGAAGAGAGGGCGTTGTTGTGGTTTTTCTTTCCCCCTCCTCCATAGTAAAGCAGCAGGGCACGTGTATCCTCATGCTGCAGCTGAGTAGTGGAATGTCAGCAGTATCCCTGGCTGGATTCAGACAGCTTGCCGCAGTGCTTGGTGTCAGCTGCTGCTAAGGGATGATGGGTGGGGGGGTTGGGTGCAGTCTGGGAGAAGGGGAAGACGTTTAAAATTAGTGCCATGTAGGGGTCAGACTGCTGCATGGGCGTGGCAGAGCAACTCCACATGCCTCATACTATATGTATTTATTTAGTAGCTGATATTACTGGGTGAATAACTTTACGATTTTTAATTATTAAAATCAGACTTCTGCTGAGCTGCACAGAAAAATCCGCTCACATTAAATCACCTCTGGAATTAAATATTCCTGACTTAATCCCCCCTCCTCCTACCTTTTCTTTTTTTTTTTTTTTTGGCACATTACCTCATCTGTATTAATGTATTCCTGTGCTCTGACTTCCTACTACTACTGTACTCACTCCTCACCCTGCTGCTTGCCGCCGATTGGCTGCTGCCGTGTTTTTCAATGGCTCCAAATTTTTTTTGACTCCATGGATACAGCGAGCTGTCGGGTAGATTGGCTCCATCCAATAGGAGCGCTGCGCGGGCTCCGGCTCGTCTCATTCTGCTCCTGGCCGCCCTCACTCTCCGAGAGCACGCGATGCACAGTGGGGGGGTTCAAAACAACAACAAGGCTGTCGCTGGGCTCCCTCTCCGCCGTGTCCCTGGTATACTGAGGGAGGGCACCCCTTGATTTATCTAAAAAACCCCCCAAAAATACCCCAGCAATTTGGTTTTGGTTAATTGTCAGAAATAGACTTTTTTTTATTATAAAAATGCATTAAAACATGTAAATAAACAAACGCATTCTTTTCATTATTATAGGAAATAAACATTTTCAAATACAATAACATCTGACTTCTTAGCCATTAGTAGCAAAAGAAGGCATCTGTAGCTAACACAATACTCTATGCAGTATAAGGCTAATGTTGACCATTTTTTTGGATAAACCAATTAATAACTGGATAGCAAAAAGTGCTGAATTTGAACTAGGTGAAGCTAAAACTATCTACTTGAGTTCTTGGTAGAACATATATATATTTTTAAAAGATATTTCAATTGAAAAATGTATATATTTTTTGTACAGTTTTGGATTAATTACTCTCTGAATATGTTTTTTCATCAAATTATTTTTTTTTAAATCTGTACACCTGTTAATGTTTGATCAACTACTAAATTAGATTGTTTAATAATCAATCATGAATAATCCGATTAATCGTTTCAGTCCTGTTTCTTTCTTCATAAAGTTTGAATAAACTGTGAAGTTGTTTATTAGTCTTTACTTATGTATCTTAAAATTCAACCAGAGAATCATTTTTGAGAATGAAAGACTGTAAAATGCCCCAATTTAGTCTGAGGATTCTCTTTTAGACTCAGAAAAACAGCCACGCAAATCCCTGTCCTTAAATGACCTAATTTCAAATGACGCAGGGGAGCGGCAGAGCCGGGTGCTACCAGGCTGGCGGTGCCCCCCGCCGCAGCAGGCTGGCAAAGCGACCTGAGCTGAGTCTGAGCTCCAGTCAGCTAGCGGCAGCAGGGAGGTGGCAGCAGAGCACCAGAGGAAGGATGGCATCACTGCGTAGGGCGAGGTCTGTGACAACCCTCTTTTGAGGCTGCATCAGGTGCTACTTTCTGACAGCCGGTGAGGTGCCGGCGTGACGGCACAGTCAGACATTCAGGTCACATTAGTGGAAGGTACATGGGACGGGGACAGACGGGGCAGGTGGGTTTCTGCAGGTGGTCTCAAAATTTTGAGGAGGAAGCAGTCCAAGTAACATTTTGTAAAGGAAGATAAAATAGCTTTCAATGTATTTATTAAACCACAAAATACTTATCAGTACTTGACTGTGCTTTATAAAAGAAAAAAATGTGGAGTTAAAGGGGATTTGACATGTAAATTTCTAATTTTGCACTTTTTTGTGATTCCATTTTGGTCTTGATTACTTCTAAAAATATCTCAAGCGCTTTTAAGAAAAAGATTCAACCATTTTTTTGGCAATAAGTTAAATGTGTTTAGGTGTCTGGAAAGTAAGGCCCTCAAAAACCGCCTGATTGTTCAGTCACATTGCGCCATTAAGACGACCTCTAGCAAGTCTGGTCAGCTGGTTTCACTGCTGTATGAGCTGTACATTATTATAATGTCATAATTATGATTTTTACTATCTTTATTCCATTTGATTTCATTTGCCAAATGAATCTGGCAAAGAATTTCTCTTTTCCTGAAGACAAGAGAAACTTTACAATAGTTATTTTGCAAAGAAGTTGTCTCTTCTTAGGTTTTCATGTTGTTTTCTTCAGTAGTTCTTGGTTCATCGCCACCACAGGTGAGGAGGGGAAAAGGGTTTTCAAAAGATTTGGTTTGTTTGACACAGTGCAGTGTGAATGTGAACCGCTCCAGATGTAACAAATGTTGATCCCTAATCAGTCTATTGGACTGTCAGGTGTGAAAACCCCTAAGAATAAAGAATACTTGAGCTCAATTGTCACCACGTTAAATTTCTTCATTAGCTATTTTTCTGACTTTGAAAGTGAAAATAAAAAGCTCGACCTACTGCCATAATTTAAGATGGAAGAATCCACGCACCCCGCCCTTCCCCGCTCCTATTCTACGCATCTCATGCATTTTAAAACCACCTCGTCTCACCCCTCTGCTGCTGACTGCTGAGTGCGTACCTTGCTCTGTCGCAGCACCTCCCTGTCGTTCAGGATTACCTGCAGTGACATGATCTCGTCCTCAGTCAGTCACTTTGGCTTTTTACCTGCCACTCATCTCAGGTGAGTCCTGCAGTCCCAACCCACTGCAGAGTGCATCCTGCCTGTCTCCGCCCTGTCAGCAGGGGTTAAATCTGTTGCCGGCGGTGGAGCCGGATGCCGTTTCTCCAAACAAACTCTTCCCCACTCCTGGCTTGTCACACATCTGTTGACCTTTGCCTCTGAGAAACATCAACTTCCTTCTCTGTAGGAGCCAGTGGATCAACGTAGCAGAGAGCAGCACGAGCCTGTCACATCAGGTTGCACAACTTCAGTTGAGACATACATTGTGGGTTACATAAACCGTATACAGCGTGTGTGGGTGGACTGTAGGAGGAAAGTAGACGCAGAATGTCTGCTAAATCTGTGGAAGTCGAGTTTTCCTTTATTTCTGTTCCTTTAAGGTCCTTTTTAGTTCAGCACCGACCAGGTCTAACAGAAAAGAGCACAACATGCTTTACAGCAGAGTTATACTCATTCCAACGAGGTTTGTTTGTTAGATTTAAAGTGCCTTTTGAAAATAGCTGGTGTTGAGCATCACTTTCATTAGGCCCACATTCAACTTTTTTTTGTTTTGGTTTGATTTTATTGAATCTTAAATCTCGTGTTCATTAGCTGTAAGAGGAAAATCATCTTAATTAACAGGAATAAAAGGCTCAGTCTGCAATTAATCTACATAATGTGTTTCACTTAATGAACTGAGTTACTGAAATATTCTAATTTGCTGAATGGGTTTGTGTATATTGATTTATTGCCTAGGTGAACTTACTTCAGCACTCAATCTCCTTGCATTAAAAGTCCTGTATTCAGGATCTGCTCGAATGAGATTTTATGGCACTATTTTGTCTAATAACATTCAGGTTTCACAAAATTTCAGTAGTAAAGTAAAAACTTTCAATAATTTCTATAGTTTCTCTAGCAAGTTTTACCTTAATAAAAGTTATGGTTGAGGCCCACTGGTTTTCACGTCTTGAACGTTGGTGTTTTTTTTTTTTGCATCTATAGGTATTTAAAATCTGCAAAGCCAGTATTTTCTCTAAGTATGAGAAAATGTAGTAATCTTCTTGCCATCAAACATCATAAAATCATGACAGTATAATGATCTTAGATAAAAATATCACTATTAGAAACAAATAGAGATAACTCATAAAGATTATAATTTAAACTTTGGTTTAAATAATCATGTAGAATAAAACAGTCTGGTTAAACTTTGAAATGGAGCTGATCTACATTGCAGCTCACACATCAATCTGAAATAAAACTTCATTGTTTTGCGGAATTTTAAAAAGTTTTTTTGTACAAAAAATGCTATCAAGATTGCAGAAACATTCAGAAAAATCTTGGGAATTTGAATCTGGAAATGTTTCAGTTTTGCGCTGGTGTCCTTTCTTTTTATAAGCAAATGTTATAACTTTGGAATAAACTTTAGTGTCATAGATATATCTGATAAGATGTTTGCTTAATGCTTCTGAGGTTTCGCAAAATTTGCGTAAAGTGCCTTTTGTGTGTAAATTTTGATGTCAAACAGTAGATTCACTGGACAAAAGATGAACAGGTGTTTGTTTGATCCTCTTTAAAATATAACAGTAAATCTAAGATTAATCTCCTCTGAAAGTTTAACTGTTTAATTGATGGAGTAAAAAGCTTCATGCTACATATATGAAGTCGGCTCAGAAGTCTGATCCCTGTGGACGATGGTGTATTTTGCATACTACTGCCTGTAAATGCTTCTCAAATGCTGGGAAGAAGCTTAGCAAAGCAGAAAAACTCAGCTATTGTTTTATTTTTGGGGCTTACTGGTTTGACATCTGCGTGGTGAGAAGTTAAGTGCAGGAAACACACAGCGGGTAGGGGTCCAAAGGGAGGTTGGGGTGCCTATGAGCTGTGGGCACATCTGGGGATTTGCTGAGTTCATACAGGCATCAGAGCAGTGAAGCAGAGCCGGAATGAGGCGAACAGGATGCAGCAGAGCATCAACACCTGCTCATCACATTCATTGCTGCATTCCTTCATTGATTTCTCTCTCTCTGTGTCTCTCTCTTCTTCAACAGGTATAACATGGGGAACCTACTGAAAGTTCTGACATGCACAGATCTGGAACAGGAGCCCAATTTCTTCCTCGATTTTGAAAGTGAGTTTCTTTGCGAGTAATTGCCCCCACTGCAGATATCGATCACATGAATATGTTTCCATAACATTATCAAGTTTTTTTTTTTTTCCCACACCGATTTATCTCTTACACAAGAGTTCCTCGCGGCAGCGAAAGATTCGGCTTCGGCTCTAGAGCTGCTGCACTTTTCCATCAACCTGCTATTTTCCACTGCAGTGTGTGTGCAGAATATCAATGGGAGCCCCCACCCCCCTAAATCTAAAGCACCGAAGTTCAGCTGCTGCATAGCCTAAGGCCCCTAAACACAGCTTGAACCTCCGCTACACTTGGCAAATCGCGAGGCTCTGTGATACCTTGGGAGAGAAATCCTTCCTTGAAAAGCTCAGTTTTTATAATAAGAGCTTTGCAGTTTTACATTTCACCAAACGATTTGATGCAGTTCTGTCGAGGAAAGCTGCTATATTGTATGTTAATCCAGACTTTGTTTGCAAATAAAATTAATGAGCAGTGAAGAGATCATCTCAGGTGATTCAGACACTTGTTTGTGTTTGGAGCCAATGGAAAGCGTTAGTATTCTGCTCTGTATTCAGAGCCACAGGGTGTACACAAGTCCATTTGTCTCATCTTATCTTCCCCCGTTTTCTGCCTCTCAGCCTGGAAAATGGGCGGTGTCAAAAAGAGATTATTTCTGCTTACTTCCATTTGCATAATTGGGGAAATGTTTATTAAACTTTCTATGATTGCTGACGATTTGATGTTGTTGTTTTAAAGTCTTTATAACGAGCCAGGATGTGAATATGAATCAGAAACTCTGTATATTTGTGTTGTTTTTGCAGATGCGCAGCCCACAGAAGCAGAGCGAGAGGTGTGGGACCAGGTGGATGTGGTGCTGAAAGATGCCAAAGGGATCCTGGACGAACTGCAGGCCTATAAAGGAGCAGGGCAGGAAATTAGAGAGGTCTGTACATTACTATAATCCACCTGAATGCACTGCAAAAACACAATCTTATCAAGTATATTTGGTCTAGTTTCTAGTGAAAATGTCGTGCAAAACTAACTTTTAGTAACTTTTCAGATTATTTTAAGTAAATAATGATTGAATATTTATAAAAGTTACTACTTTCATTGACATTTTTGCCACATTATAATGAACTAATCTGCCAGTACTTCTTATCAATATTTAGAGAAGCAGATGACGGTTGATGAGAGGATGGCTGGAGCTAAATTCAGGGCAATACTGGAAGAAAACTGTGAGAGGCTTTAATCAGGGATGTCCAAAGTGCAGTCCACAGGCCATTTGTGGCCCTTGCAGTTATTCTGAAAACATTTTACAAATGGTACATATTTGTCTGACCAACACAGGATATTTTAATATGATAATTGATCTTAAATTTTTCTTCTCTTTTAACAAATCCCAGGGCCTTTTTTATGTTTTGAAACAAGCATGAATTACAACTGTTTTCTACAACCCTCAAACCACTTTGTTTCTTTAAATAAAGAACGTAAAATGTTAAGTTTACTGTTGAACTTGTAAAGTAAAAAAAAAATAAAAAATCACAGTGATATACATTTTGCATTTATATTTATATTTATAACTGCTGCAAATGATTTGATACTGGGCTGGATGTTCAACCTTTCAGCAGAACAACCCTAAACATTTAAACATAAATTTTTTTTGAATATGTCAAAATCCAGACCTAATTCCAGTTGATAATCTTTGGTGATCTTTAGAAATTCTCCATCCGGTCTGGTTAACTTTTGCTGTTTTTCAAAGAATTGGCATAAATTTCAGTCTGTATATGTGCAAAGCTGCTAGTCGAATCCAAACAAAGGCCACCGCAGATGTAATTTCAGTGAAAGTAATAGAAGTGCAATTACTTATACTTGCCGTTGGATACAAGTGTACGCCACACTTTTCAGATGTTATTTTTCCAAATGATGTATTCTATTCCTTTCACTTCGTAGTTTGCATTGCCTTGTTTTGGTGTTTCACAGAAAATCTTAATAAAATATCTTAAGTTTGGGGTTCTACAATGTCATTAAAGAAGTTCAGGGTTTATGAATGTATTTGTAATGTACAAAAATAAGATTTCATTTATCTACCTAGTTTAAGAAACACAGGTAACTAGTAGGACAAGCAAAAACAAATGTCCAACTAAAAAGAAGAAAATAAGTTTACCACTTCTTTAATGTTTGAAATGGAGTAGGAAGGAGTGAACACTTAAGTTTCTATATATAGCTTATCTTGACAGTCGGTGGCATATTTTACATATAGAAATAGAATAATTGAGAGCTGTGGCCTAGCACAGGGATATTCTTTGAAGACTGAAGTGATTTGAAAATCCAAAACCTAAGCTCCTTTCAAGTGCACAAAGCAAAACTTGTCTGCTTCCCCCCAATGTTTCAATAAATTTATACAGCAGAAACATTGTCATTTAGATTATTTTGAAACTCTTTTTCTCGCTTACACATTTGATTTGCATATTTTTGATTGTTTGGTTTAAATGTTTTTAAACCTAGAGCCATACAAAACTTTAAATCATGGTTTATCTCCTGCAGGCGATCCAGAATCCAAGCGATGATGCCTTGCAGGAACAGGCGTGGGCAGCTGTAGTTCCTTTGGTGGGAAAACTGAAAAAGTTCTACGAGTTCTCCCAGAGATTAGGTAACTTAACACAATATGCTGCCTCTGTGTCTGGTAGGACAGCAACAATAATATCGCTGGTTTACCCTGAAGGATGACATGTTGTGCAAAATTCAAATTTTGCGCATTTTTGTACTTCCATTTATGTCTCAATTGCTTAAAAAAATCATCCAGTTGTGTTTTGGCAATAAGTTTGTTTTTTGGTGTCTGGAAAATAACCTATTTCAAAAACCTCCAGAATGTAGCACAACAGCAGACACTGCTCCTCACTAAGCAACCTTAACGAAGCCTCATTTGCTGCCTACTCATCACGCAGCAACCAACATGTTTGATCAGCTGGTTTTACCGCTGTATGCGCTGTACAGTGGCTGATGGGAAAAGACGAGTGTTTTGTTGATGATTCACCATTAAGAAACCACTTGCTGCATTCTCGTTGGTTGTGCAGGAGGTTCCACTTCTGCTTGTCAAAGATGTATGTTTGTATTATTGTGCATTGTTTGCAGCCGTTTTTACATGCGAGTGTAAATGTTGAGTTGGGTGAGCGTGACCAGCACCGACTTATTTGGATTTAAAGTGACAAGATGGACTAAAACAGTTCATTCTGAAAGAAGCTCAAAATATTAGACCAGTCTGAAATCTTCAGAATGATTTTGTGTAAAAAATATAATGAGCCTGTTTTGTTGAGCTCTATCCTAACCTGTGGATCACCTTTAAACTCCTACTGATGTTTGTGATTTGGTTGGAACTTCTTTTATCTTTGCTTTTTGTATTTGTTATTTTTTTGCACCATTTTTGTAAATTATTGGCTGAACATGTCTACCTATTTCCATGTAACGTTAACATAGTCTCGTTTCTCTGTGTGCTTTGATAAGCCTCCATGCATTTGCATTGTTTATTTGTTTGACTCTTGTGTGGGAGGGGGCTACAGTGTGTTTAATTGGTGAGGGGGGTTGGCTTTCTGCTCCTTGGTCTTCTTTTGACCCTCTATGTGAGGATTTGGGTGGAGCCTGTCACGCCTCTGTAGCATCAACGCAGGGACAGCAGGGTTTTCAATGGGATCAGTGGGCGGCGGCAGCCTGACGGCGACTGTTATGTAACCAAGTAGGTCATCTCTCAGCGTTGGCTGCTGCTCTAATTCACTGTCTTGGCTCCTGGCTTCAGGGTCCGTGTTGGCCTGGCGTCTTGACTTATCCACACGAAGATGAAAGTCTTACTACAGAGCTGGACCTTTTGGAAGAGTCGCTTATGTAATGAGCAGCTTTGCTTTTCAGACAAATGAATGCATCTTTAAACAAAAATAAATGCAGAATAATCAGAGAACTGCAGCAGAAGTCAGTTTTCTTGAGTGCAGAAAGTGAAAATCTTACATTTTGTTGACCCATTGTTGACAAACATCAAAATTTTATCTATCTTGTTCTGAAAATCATAACTAATGCTTTAAAATATATAGTGACAAATTCAGCTGTTCCATCCATCAATTAAATAGCTTCACACTCTTCTGTACTTTGTAATATTTGCAATTTAAAAATCTAAAATTATTTTCTCAACAAAAGGATAGTTTCTAAATGGGTTTCAGAGATCATTAATATTTATAATGGATACTTTTCAGAATAAGAGCCTCAGATAAGTCCTCAGGGCTCATTATTTGGCCTTTTAATGTTTACTCTTAAAACAAATAAAACCCTCAATATTTCATAGGCTAAAGTTCTACATTATTGAAGCATCATCTGTGATACAACTGAGAGTTTATGTTGACCTTTCAAAATAAAGTACAGAGATACTAATCAAAACAAAAGTGAAGCATTTATGTGCTTTAGTTATTCCAAAACGAAACATGTTTGGTCTTGACTATTAGTGAAATAGTAGGTATGGTGGTATCATCTGGATATCTTGAAGTTTTAAATGTTTGCTTGTTCATATTGAGTTTATTGATTCAATCGACAATAAGCTTGTTGTTACAATATTTCTAGACTTGTGTGAAACAGTTTTTATTCTGTAAATATTTAATTTGCTAAAAGAATTGCATAGATGCTAAGACAAGCATTGTTTTATTGGAAAGGAAAATGAATTTGACACTCCTGCTCTACAGTGATGGAGAGATGTCAGGCATATCATGGTCTTTCCATTAATTTGGGTTTCTGGTGAATAAAGGTGGTGCATCTTTTCTGAAGAACAATCATATCAGTATCTACCTTCCCGTAAAGTGTCAATCTCTGAAAATAAAGATCAGACATGCTCAAATCCTCCTCGCTTGCTCCCCTATGACCTGATAAGATCAGACATCCCTCCCCCGTCTCTCTCTCTCCCCATCTCGCCGACGTTTTGGAGCGCCGCGTTTCCGACGGCACTGAAAGCAGCCCCGCTCTAACTTCCGTTTTGACTGGGACGCAGACGAGGGAGGAGGGGAAAAAAACTGCACCACTCTGGCCATTTTTAATCAGCCGCTCGGCTGCAAACGCCGTCCCAAGCAGATGGTAGTCATTACCGGATGGCAGACGCGCTCAATTCACCGCCGCGGCCCTGCCAGCTCTCAGCTCGTCTCCTGAAAGTCCTCATACCCCCGTTATCTTAAGTGGACCCGTCTCTGAATCTGGGTCGTGTTGACATGAGCATCGTGATTGGTGATCATAACGAACTGTAAAATATACTTGGAATAAATCAGTTTAAATTGAATTTGTTACAACGATGTCTGGGTTACGTTGCTGTTGAAGCTTTGAGACTGAACTCAAAGCCCCGTCTGCATCTATAAATAAAATTCCCTCTGGGTTCCCTTCATGTGAAGAAGACATGTTTGTACAATATTACTCTCCTTTGGAAGTTCTCAGTTGAATCTCCCTTACTGTGTTTTTTATTTCCCGCCTGGCCCTCCTCATGCCTCCCTAATTATCTGACCATGGGTATGTTATGTCGAGGCATGGCACAGTCAAAACAATGACTGTAATCCTGCTTGAATGACATCATGCCATCCCCTCCTCCCTTCTTATTTCCATGCCAATAAGATAATTAGTCCCATGTCTCATCTGCATCTGAACGGGAGAGGCCCTGCACCCCAGCTTCCTGCCTCTGGGTGATTTCACCGCTGGCCCAGAATCAGGATCCCTGAGCCGGCTGACGCTTTGCTACACAGTCAGACACGGGAACTTTACCGCGATCCACTCTGACACTTGTTCCTTGACCTCAAACAAAGAAGGCGGGAGATCATCCTTACTTTAACTTTTGTCCTTTTGAATTCTGAGAGTAAAATTTAGGATGATTTGTGAAGTTTTAGGTTGTATTTTTGGGGGGGAAATTAAGCAATGTGGGGAGATATCCTGCAGTGAGGACATCTGTTGCTGTGGGGATTCATTTTTTTTAGCAGCAGCTTCAGTTTGCATGCACTTGTCCCAGACAGTGACAATTCTCTGCAGAGTTAAGCATGTCGGTTTTCCTCTTGGTGAATAATTTAATAATTTTCACAGCACAAAGAGGTGTTATAAATAAGTTTTCTTTTATATCTCAAACCGCTGCAGATTTGATCTCTTTGTCTGCATATTTAACAGTTCTGTAAATCAATTAAAAAAAATCAGGTTAAACACTCTAGAGTTGTGGTTAATCATGATTAATGCAGATTTTCACCAAATGTTTCAAAAAAAATTCTTTTTTTTTCCTGTTTCTCATATACAGGAATGTTTAAAAGAAATAAATTAGTTTCAAACTTAATATAGAAATGCTAAACATAAGCTGGTTATTTGCAATAATACTACCTTTGTTTTATCCAAAAGTTTTTTTTTTTTTAACTAAATAACCCTCTGCATAAGAGGCTTTTTGGTCAAAATAGGAAATGTGATTAATCTGCATTATGTAATAATGAACAACTTTTTAATTAATTCCATTAATATTGACGGTTCTAATATTTAGCTTCTTTAGTCATTAGCTTTGCACTTGAATGGAGAAAGGTATAAAGTTCAGCTACACCACTTGTTTGAGAACCTTCTCTTGGTTGTTTTTTGTGAGAATAAACATCTTTAAATGTGTTTTTCTCTGACAGAAGCGGCGTTGCACAGCCTGCTGGGTGCTCTGACCAACGAGACGTACAGCGACCCAACCCAGCACCTGGAACGGGAACAGGCGCTGGCGAAGCAGTTCGCCGAGATCCTGCACTTCACCCTGCGCTTTGACGAGCTGAAGGTTCCACTATTTCCATGTCTACCTATTTTTAACATGCCAAACCCACAGAGGGCAGTGCAGCACTAACACTTATGTCAGCCAAACAGATTATACCTTCCTGTTAGAAATTAAACGTGGAACTAGCAGCTTAATTTGTGTGAACAGAAAGAGAAGTTGAAATACTTTTAAAAAGTGTATTGGAATATAAATTTAACAAAACACAAGACTTTGTCTACTGGGAAACATTTCGATGAGGCTATATTGGTGCATTATTTATAATGATACAATAATGATACAAATGCAGAGTTTTCTCAAATTTCCTCTGGTTTGAGGATATTGTGTAGTTTTCTTATTTCTGGGGGAACTTCTAGCAAGACCTGCAGTCACATCTTCACGCTTTGTAACTTGAAGCGGTTGCAGCTACCAGTAACTAGCTAATTTTTTGTTTTTTATGTCCATTGTCAATCTGCCAGATGCCGTTAATTCACTTCTGTTGCCAACCCACAAGATTTATTCATTTGTGTTTTTTTTCCCCTATATTTCTGTAGTGATACAAATCTTAAATTGTATTCTTAATGATTTTAAAACCTCTTAATTGGTGAGTTGGTGAAACCTGGAGAAACTCTGATTGAACTGAGGCCATAATGCTTAGAATATATTCATTTTGACAGATATACGTGTGGACCAGGCCTAAGATGAAACACTACCTTTCATCCATCACTAGCATTTGATTTATTCTGCGGAGATGCAAACAAATTGACTTTTGGGAGACTGAGGGTTGGAAATGGTCCTAATCCTTGTCTTGCTTCTGAGTGTGTCGTGTTTCTAAAAGCGATCAAGTGAGGAATCTGGCCTCTAATCAGCCACAGAGTGCTAATGAAACGCTGTTCAAAGTCTCACACATCAAGTGTAGGTGTCGCTCAAATGCCCATTGTAATGACACGTAATCCCGAACTCGTTTGCTCTTCACTCCGAGACACAAACGGCTCCCTGACTCCCCGAGGCGACACCCCAATTAGTGCCCACCACCCAGCCTGGCAAGATAAAACATGAAGATGGGGGGTGCAAGGTGGCATGCCTGGCCCATTCATCAATCTTTCACATCCATGCACGGGCTTTTGACCTAGTTAGAGCGTCTGAGTGGCATGCAGCCCCACCCTGGCAGTGCAGACTGTCTCCGCTGGTGGAAGTAGTGGACAAAGACGAAGTACCAGTCCATTGTAGCAGGATTAACATGCTGCAAGTGCAGCTTTGACAGTGACGGGCTCGTACAGGAATGAGGATAATTACCCACATAATGAGCTTTCACTGGTGGTACCGTTTTTGTAAGAAGCTCTCTCATTGGACAGCTTCGTTTTTGCAGGGGGTCAAAATAAGATGCTTCATATTTTAAAGTAAGTGTGAAGCTCTGAGTGTAAATAATGTCACAGATTTTTGCTGTGCTTCGACTTAATGAGACTTTTTTTTTTTTAGCTTTACCCTCCTGTCAGAAACGGTGCCACTGATTCCTTTAAAATGAAGGAAAAAAGCCAAATATCTCCTGACAGGAGGAGAGGGAGGACGGGGATGTAAGGGGCCGAATCGGTGTCAGAGGACTTAAATTCAGTTCAGCAAATAAAGCTGTAATTGTATCCGTGTTCTTTTTATGTCATTCCTGCCCAAAGCTGCATTTCTGCTTTGCTGGCTAAAACGTTCTGTCGTGACAGCGCAGCAGCGGGTTTGATCCTGAACTCGCCGCCCCGCAGCAGACCCGTCTCATTGTTCCCCGTTTCTCCTCTCTTCCAGATGACAAATCCTGCCATTCAGAACGACTTCAGCTACTACAGGAGAACCCTGAGCCGAATGCGGATCAATAACGTTCCGGTGAGGATGCTTTCACTAAAGACTTGGACGGAGGAGGAGGCGGCAACTTTTCGTTTTTGGTTTTACAGATCAAAATTTACAGTCATTCTTACAGAAAGTCAAGTTGAGCAAAAAAGGCGTTTTCATCACTAAACAACACAAACACAGTTGGGTACACACTGGGGAATGCGATAAAGCACTTAATTTGTTAAAAATTAAACATATCCCTCATAAGCTAATCTTAAAAGTGCTTTGGGATCAAAATATTCAGGAGGAGAAAATAAAACACTCCAAACAAATGACATAATTTCTTTGTGAAACAGTTTCATAAATTTAACACATTTAGGTCAGACAAGCTTATTTACTACAAATTTAAACAGTTTAGATCTTTTTGTTTGTCGACTTTCTAACAATTTAAAAAACATTTCAAATTGTTTTTAATGTAGATAAATCATAGTGACAAGTGTAGGATTCATTTAACAATATTAATGTTCACAAATAAACTTGCTATGAAAAGTCTGTCTGAAGGATCATATTGAAAATATTTTTCTTTGAGGAAATGATTAAACCCTCAGGAACTGAGATATATTCTCTTTTAATTAAAAAATAAACAACAGACCATAAAAATACTGAAGTTAATTTGACTCTACAGATGATTAAGAGGCAACATTTCTCTGTCTGACTTTCTAAATGTATGATGAGACTTAAAGAGGAGCTGCAAAAGCAAATGAGGTGGATTAGCAGTGTTTGCTAATAGCTGAGGATGTTGAGCTGTTGACATAAAATCACAGTGTTCAGTCAGAGGGCTTTTCAGATGAGTTCAAGATTGACTGCTACTGGAGATCCTTCCTACCCAAAGCACCACCAAATAAATAATACTTGGATCATTTAATTCGAATTGGAAAAAATCTGATTTTTCACTGTCTGAGTCGCTGTTCGGTCAATTAATTGGTTGTTTTGAGCTTACAGGAGCATGTTTGGCCTTGCTTTTCTCAAATACCTGAGAAAAGCAAGGTTTATATCAGCCATGAAAAGTCCCATTTCTGCGTTCTCATCTGTACCAAGTGTTACATCCAGGTGCTTGTTTATTCCATTCATGCCTGACATGTGAGAAAATAATGATTTTCCTGCTCCAGAACTGTCCCATTGATTTGTTCCCTTGCAGATCTGATGGCTTTGGGGAGGATCAAATATAACCCTGCAACATAAAAAGAAGGTGTTTAAAAAGTTTTAACAGCCAATTGTTTTTATGAACCATTAAAGCGACCCAGTTCAAGGTTTCTGCTATTACCGATCTTCAAAAAGCCATTTGCTGTCTTGTATCTTTCATGCTGAACTCCAGCTGATCTCTCCTTGTCTGCCGATTGTTTAAGGCGGTAGTTTAAATTTCACAGTCTGGTCTCCGTTGTGACCTGTCTGACAGAAACATTCTTCCCCTCGATCCTGAGTTTGCCATTAGGGAAAACGGGCCCGGACAAGCCGTCGTTGGGAGCCTGTCAGCGCTGAACGACGCCCCGGCTGCCGTCCCCCGGTTTAGTCACCGCTCAGAGAACTGAATCATTCAGACATCCGAGATGAAACGCATCTGTCCCGCTCGGGCAGTCTTTGAACACATCCGTCAGGATTCGTTAAAACCTGAATTGGTTTGAAAGTTTGGGGCGATTTATTCTCATCCTGTCAGGGTTTCTCTTGACGGCAGGAAATGTTCCCTTGTTGTTTCGGTTTTAATATGCGGACAAATTTAGCTCTGGCTCTTCAATAGACGCCTTGTTCTTCGTTGTCTGCCAGGTGTTTTATGCAACTGGGAACTAAGGGGTGAAGCGGTTCATATCAGTGTTTTCCTGTCATATTTTCATGTGAGAAAATATCTCTTTATATGCACAAACACACTCTCCCCTGAAGCTGCTCGAACAACCAGATATTAATAGTTTCTACCTCTATCTTCTAATATGCAGTGAAAGCAGGAAGCGATGGCTTTTAGATTACTCATTCAGTAGCACCTTTTGTTTTATTACTTTGACATTTTTCATTCAAATTTGCTCTGATAACAGTTCTTTTATATCACTGGGGTCAGATAAAGGTCCTCATAAGAATTTTATATGAAGGTCAGACGTTCTGAACAATAGAGGAAAGGTCTGCAGGTTAAATAACCACAGTCAGTCTGACTTTATTTTGTTCGATTTCCAGGCAGAGGGTGAGAACGAAGTCAACAATGAACTGGCCAATCGGATATCTCTGTTCTACGCTGACGCCACACCCATGCTGAAGACGTTAAGTGACGGCACAACAAAGTTCGTATCAGAGGTGAGAGGCCAGTAAATAGGTATTTTATTTGATAAACCAAAACAAAGTAGAACATAATTGTGAAATGGAAGGAAAATGATGCAAGTTTAAGGAGTATGAAAGCTTTTACTCTACTGTGGGATACAAATAAGACTTAGGAGAAGGAAGAAAATGTTTCAGTAGTTTATGAAATGTATTATTTTTGTTTTGGCCAGTTTAAGATTGAGCATTTTTGTAGCTTAGTGGTTGCCCCAATAAATTCTTTCGATCTGTTATCTTCTGCTCAGTCTGGAGTCACAGTGGCAGTAATCTAAACAGAGAAGCTTTGGGTGTTTTCATACCTGATAGTCCAGTCGGGAGCAAAATTGCAACATTTGTTACAGTTTCAGCTGCTGCGGTACACTTTCACTTTGCACCGAGTCAAACTAACCAAATTAATTGAAGAGCCTGTTCCCCTCCTGGCCTGTGGTGGCGCTGCACCAAGACCCAATGAAGGAAACAGAACTAAAACCTCTCAAGAAGACACTGAGCGCAACTTCTTTTTTTTTTTTACAAAATGTAGAAAAACCATGAGCCACTTCTCCCACTACCGCCAGACTCATCCTTTTGTCTAAATTTTATTTACCCAGAATGCCGTACTCTATAGTCTCCTTCAAGCTGTTGGAGCGGTCTCTGGTCTGCTTGCATCCACATATCTATTCAAACTGCACCAGAGTTTGAATTGTGAGTTCCTCCAGCGTGTCCTGCATCTCCTCCTGGTGGAAGTTAACCTCCAGAAACATTTATGGTTAAAATTAAACATCAGTTTTAAGAGTCTGAAATTTCTTCTGATGAACTTGTTTAAGTTTCTTTGTTTACATTTGAGACATGAAGCTAAACTCCTCCCAGAGAACATCCTAAATATTTAAAATTTGTTGCTTTTTTTTCTGCAGAACAAGAACCTTCCCATCGAGAACACGACAGACTGCTTGAGTACGATGGCGAGTGTGTGTAAAGTCATGCTGGAAACACCGTGAGTGATTCCCTCCACCTGCTTCCTGTCTGCTCCGGGTTTTTAACATTTTCTTGTCAGGGCTGTGATCCCCGCTGTGCGTCTCTTTCAGGGAGTACCGCAGCCGTTTCAACAGTGAGGACACGGTGTCCTTCTGTCTCAGGGTGATGGTCGGAGTCATCATCTTGTACGACTACGTCCATCCTGTTGGAGCCTTTGCCAAGTCATCTAAAATCGATGTAAGCTGAGAAAAGATCAGATTGTGACGCTGTTTACAGGATTCTTACTCAGAGGCTTGGAAAGTCCAGAGATGATTTCAGTTTTTCCAGGAAAGAATTAGAGATTATATAGAGAAGTTGATTTTCTATCCTATCAACTAAAAGTGGTTTCCTGTCTTCCTCTATTTCTTCTTTCCTTGCTTTCATCCTCAGATCTTCCCTCCTTTAATGTTTTTTTGTCATTTCCTTTCCTTTTACTCGTTTTTCCCTTTCCTCATTCATTTCTTGTCTTTTTATCTCTATTCGCTTTTTCCTTTTGCCTTTAATCTCCTTGTCCTTCCTTCCTTCATTTCTTTATCTTTCCATTTTTCTGTTCCTTCATTTCCACCTTTTTTCATTTTGTCTTCACTTCCTTCCCTTCTTCTTTCCTTCCTTCAATCCTTCTGTCCTTCCTTTCTTCCTGCTTGTGTACTTTCTTCCTTTTATCCTTCCTTGCTGTCTTGCTTCCTGCGTTTGTTCCTTCCTTGTTTGTATCTTACCTTCCTTTTTTCCCTCCCTTCCTTCCCTTCTTGTATCTCTTTTGTTGGTTCCTTCCTTCCTCCCTTTCTTCGCACTTCCAGTTCTAAAACTTGTTAGGTAGAACTTTGTTTCTGAACATTTCGTGCAGATGAAATCTCATTTTAATCTTGTTCAAATCTAATTTTAATCCAGATGTTCTGTTTTTTCCCTGCAGATGAAAGGCTGCATCAAAGTTCTCAAAGATCAGCCTCCAAACAGCGTAGAAGGCCTTCTCAATGCTCTCAGGTGAGCTGCAGCGAGTCGCGTCTCCATTTGAACATCCTGGATTGTTTTCATCTCCCTGACTCACTGTGAGCTTCATTATTCCAGCTCAGAAAAAAAACCCAGATTAAATCTGACACCTCGTCCCTCTCAGTCCAAATAAAGGCCGCCCGGGTCGCCGCCTCTCAGACAGACAGGGTCATAATCTGAGCCAACCCCACATCTGTAATGGGCCAGAGGCGGGCCACCACTTCCTGTCCTCCAGTCGTTTTCATGTACAAGCAGATTTAATGTCTGCGATCGCAGCTCTGATCTGACAGAATGACAAAATACGGAGAAACGATACCATCAGGATTCATGCTCGCAGTCACTTTACTGAACCTTAAAACTCATCCTGTGTGCAATTTGTTTCAAAATATCAATGTACACGATGACAGCTTTCATTTTAATATGTTGCTTTCGACTATTGCTCGTCAGTGTTTTTCAAAAAGCTTTTTCCAGATCAAAAGGTTCACTACTTTAACGCTCTGAGCATATTTATTTACACGAGACTTAAAACAAGTCTTGTGTCACTGAAGTTTTTTTTTGTAAACTACAAATTCTCAAAAAGAGTCAAAGGAATGCAATTTTTAGATTAAATAAAGGGGTTCTACTGTGCAAAAATCACTTTTTGCATATTATTGCATGCTTGGTTTATTTTATTTAAGACAAAATTAACTCTCTTTTGTATTTTAAAATCTAAAACGATGAGATTTTATGGCCTTGAAACGCTTCAGATTTGCTAAATTTTGGCTTACATGATGAAATATGTATTAATTGGAAATTACATCTTCTGTTTTTGTTCCCATGTTGACCCCAGGTACACCACAAAGCATCTGAATGACGAATCAACCAACAAGACTATCAAGAGCATGCTGCAGTAGGAACTGAGCTGCAACCACTGCTGGGGAGAAGCACCACTCACTGTCCTGAGGGATTTAGCTGCACAGAATGTTTTTGTTTTGTTTTTTGTCATTTATTCTTTTTTTGTTGTTGTTGTTCTTGGAAAATGAGCTCAGCTCCGCCCATTTTTATGATGCAAATGCTACTGCCATTACGACGTCTCTTTCTGTGCCAAACAGATGACGCAGAGATGCGATGTTTTCGACACAAGGCCACGCAAAGATGGCGGCTCGTGAACGCATTGCAGACCCTCTGGTGTTTTTAAAGATTTCTTGTTTTTCCCTGGATAAGGGATGGGAGTGCTTTGACTTGAAAATTTCAGAGAGATATATAGAGAAGTATATATTATTTTGTTTGATTGGTTATTTAATTACAACTTCTGCATGATGAAAATGTCTTCTATTTAAAAAAAATCTTAACAGTTCAATTTTGCTCTGTTGTGCTTTATCAATTATGTTATTGAAATGGTACTTGTCAACATGAGATTTAAGAGTACTGTTTTTATATTTTTATAAGTTTTAATTTGTGCATATGTCTTTTTGTTCATTGGTCTGATGTATTTTTCAGTTGAAAACTTTAAACTGTGAGGGGTGCAGAATCAAAATGAAATCTGGGATCTGTACCGTAAATGTACAAAATTATGTGGCTGGAGACATTAAAGGTAGAACTCTTGTTTTCTACAAAAAAATCAAAAAACGTCCCATCAGTTTTTATTGGCAAATTTGTGAGAAAATGGTTTTTTTTTACACTTTTTTTTAGCTGGTTTTAATTCTCATGTGAAAAGTGTCAGATTCTCACGTTTGACCACAAAATGTCTCCGAGAAAAACGTTCAGATCTGTTCCCCTGAATATAAGCTGTTGTTTTTCTCAGAAATGAGCTCGACTTTTACTGAAACATCTTTTGCAAATAATCTACACTGGATAGCTTAGCATAAAGGAACATCTCGGTATAATGCAGCCCTTATAACTTTTTTGCCTTTTTTGATGTTCAGACAAACTTTAATATCAGACAAAAGTGATCTGAGTAAATGCAAACTGTTTTAAAAAGCTCAAGAAAGCCATCAAGCTAACCAGATCCTAGTTGTTAAATCAAATATTGACTTGGAATAGGCCCAATTTTGAAGGCCTTACTGTAGAATTAAAAAACGTTCTAAAGGGAACCTGTCTGGCAACATGAAGTAGGCGAAATGTCTTAATTCTGGAAAACGCATAAAAAAGTCAACCTTTTAGTTGTTTTTGCAGGACTTTGGAGATGAAAATGTTTTCAAATGTAATATAAAATTAAATGTTGCACAAAAAAGAAGACTTTTTACTTTAATTTTTGAATAATTTGGTATTTTGGACAACAGAGATCTTTCTCAGTAAAGTTTGTCCAGATTGTGGTAACTTCTGACCCTTTAGGGAGAATTTATTCGCAAATTTCACATCCAGTAGCATTCAAAGACTGAACAACTGGGTAAAAATTTAAAGTTTCTTTGAAATAGAGACATAATGTTCTGACACAGTGTTGTAATGAAAAATGACTCACCATGCCCTGATCTGAAGGTCAAGCACAGATGAGAAACATTGACATGCATCAGCCTGTAAAGAGTCACAAAGCCGTTGTCTGTGGTTTTGGGACTTCAGGGGAACAACAGTGACAGCCATGATCCAGGAATGGAGAAAAGTGGATCAGTAACTCATTCATGAGGTCACAGAAGAACAAAGAGTAACATCTAAAGCCCCTCAGGCCAAACTTACCTCAGTTTAGCTTAGAGTTCAGGTTTAACAGAGATTCGGCAGAAATGGCTTCCAGTGGAGGGTTTCAAGGCCAAAAAGGATCTTTGTGATCCCCAAAACTTTCAAATTGTCATGTGGGCTGACGAGACAAAAGTGGAACCTTGTGGAAGGTGTGCGTTATGCTACATCTGGTGTGAAACTAACAGAATTTCTGAAAAACAAAAAAAACAAAAAACTTAACTTTGCAGTTTGATGATCTGGGACATAAAGAGAAAATTTATTTCGTTTATTGTCATTGCACATTAAATAACGCATAAACTCTCAAAGGCAAGTTAAATGATTGAATAAAATAAAAATAAAAAATATAGTTGAAACAACTATACTGTGACAGACTTTGTGTTTCAATATGGCCGCTCCTCGCATCAACGGCAGCAAGATGGAAAGTGTTTATTTTACAAGACACATGTGGTCTTGTAAAATGTGCATCTTAAATCAATGTTACATGAAGCGCCTGCAATTCTAAGCTGCACAAATTAAAAGTGGAGTTTAAATTAAAGCTTAAAATTATGTTTGCAAGAAGTACCAAAAACATGGGTGTCACCATGTGGAAATCACAATTTCGCAGGTAACTTAAATGCATCACAAGTAAAAAAAATTTCATTAAAATACTAAGAAAAAGCGTTTATGAAGATTATTCACATTTGTTCTTCTAAATTCAAATATTTCGGACATATATCTGCACATTACAGCAGTTTTATTTTCAAATGAGCAAAATGAAGCATAAAATAAAGGAGGTTTTAGGTGTTTTTATAAATGCATCTTTTTGGAGAACAGTTACAATCTCTCACAAAATTAATTGGAATATGAAAATAAAGCATAAATTTTTCCCATTACAAACTCATTCAATGTAATTTTTTTAATTTATTCCTTTCTCTGGTTTTTAGCTCTAATATAGCTAATGGCTCTTTAGAGAACATAATTACACGATGTTAGTGACAAGTACTCATCTCTCTGCTAGAAAAGAAAGCCATTTGGTTTCCATCATCCCTCCCTCTTTAATTACAGACTTCCTCCTGTTTATTTGATGAAGAAATGTCCTTTTTTCTGTTATTGCAGTCTGTTTCCACTGCAGCATCATCAACTTCTCTGGGTCAAAGAGAGGCGGCAGAGTGAGGATGGGTGTGTCCTCTGCAGCATCGCTGCACTATCAGACACAGGGGAGCGTGGAAACGAGAGGAAGTGATGCGGATTAATTGTGGGTGGGGTTCAAAGTCTTTATCATGGATTGTCTTGAACTAAAAGAAAAGAAGAAGAATAAAAAGCAAGGCTTATGTTTTCCAAATGGAAGAGGGAAGCTCAGATTTGCTGTTTGGTATGCAGCTCTCACTATTCTGTCTCGCAGGGACTCGGCGACCTTGTTCTGCACCGCCTGATGTCCCTGCATGACCTCTGCTGCAGAAGCTCGCCCTGCATCAGCGGAGGCGACAGCGCCGCTCTGCAGATGGATGAACCTCTAACTGAAGGAGGAGAAAGAGGAAGAGAAGTTCTTCATCTTTCCTCTCAGGTGTTTAGATCCATCACAACAGGAAATAACTAAATGTCCTGGTTAAGCTTTAATTGGTGTCAATTGTTCTGTGAGCTACTAATCAATCCAGAAAGAAAGGACACCCCGCATTCAACATCTTGTAGAACCATGCTTGGCATTAATAATGAGAGGAATGAGCTTTCTATGTGATTTCATCCGTCTATTTGGTTGTTGATTTTAGTTCACTCTTCTTAGCAACTGCGTTTCAGTTCTTTCTGGTCTGTAGATGTTTGTTTGTGTTCTCTTAATGTCCCACAGCATCATTTCACGCATTTTGAGGTTTGCGACACCTTGATTCTTCTCATTTCAGCATTTGTTGTTCCATTTACTACCAACTAAAACTCATCTGCTGGACTCAAGAAGTGATTGAATTTATGAAACAATCCCAAATCCTCATCCCTCTGTCACCGTATGTGAAAGTGGGAATGAGGTGTTTGTGGATTATACCCAAAAATCCTTACTTTGATTTATCTATCCCTAAGACTTTGTGGTTATGCTTTTTTGGAATAAAGACAGAATTTCTGGGCAACATTTTCAAACTAATTAAAATTTTTCTAATTTTGCTGTTGTGAAATTGACATATTAACACCTTTTGTTATATAGGGTTTATATGATCAAATGTTCAGGAGGAAAATCCAGCAACGCTCTTCATCTGTTGTGGGGAATCTCAAGAAATGATCAGGTTTTTCTGTAGTGTTGGGTTGTTTCTCTACCATTAGCACAGCTGCAGTACATACAGAAGAGTGATTGACAGCGCTAAGGCCCTCCTCCTGACTGATTGGCTGTTTCTGACGGGGAACGGTGTGATTCTGCAATAGTAGACTTATTTACTTTTTGTTCCATATTATGCTTTTAGGACACGTTGACAGTTTAAATAAATATGTAAAGTTATGAACTGGAGAAGAAACGATGTAATAAATGAGTTTAATCCGTTTTCTGCTGTTACAGGGATATTGGAGGATAATGATTTAGCTCCTTATCTGCAAAGGTTATAACTGCACATCTCGTTGTTTTATAAAGAAAAAGAAAATGTGTCAACTTGTTTAAACGAAGCTAACAACTGAAAAGTGCTTTCAGGAAGTTATTTCTTTGAGCGGCATTCAGGAGCAGGTCTGCAGGCTTCTTGAAGGACGTCCTTCTCTTCGTCTTTTCTTTGGATGTTGCTGCCTTTTGTTCTTCTTCCTTTAAAGTTGATCTCAGTCTGCCTCAGTAATATCGAGGTCTGAAGGTTAATTAAACACTAATCATATTCAGGATGTGCTTTGTTCCACCCAGACTGGCTTTACTGCACCTGAAGAGTTTCCATCAGCTTCGATCTCTGTCAGATAGATGCTACTCTGTAGTGGATCAAAATTATTTGTTTTCTGTCGCCATAATTCCAGAAATTATAGCACTTCCTCTAGATTTTTCTTGAAATGTTGATGCATTTCAAAAGGTTTTCCTTTAGAAAAAGAAAAAATCTAAGAAATTAAAAGTTAAAAATTTGCTCGACAAAACTCAAATTTTGAAATTAATCTCAGAAATTCAATAGGAAAAGATGGGAAATTCTGAGCTTGTCAAGTTGAATATTTGCTAGAAAAAGACAAACTACTTTTCTCAAAACCATTTGATGCTGACCTCAACCTTTTTATTCTAGAATTTTTCTTACTTGCAAATACTTTTGAGCTGATGATTTTGGCCGACATAACAAAATATTTGGACAGTCTGGTCAAGATAATCCCTTCTATATATTTTAGTTTTTTTTTAAAATTGAGTCTTATTTTCTTACTGTATTTGCATCTATTTTGTCATTTTCTCCTCTTTTAATTCTTCTTTCTCCATATTTTATTAATCAACCTCTCCTGTTCCAACTCCAGAATATCTACTTTCCTTTTTGTCCGTTCCTTTACAGATTCTCCAAGCCTGGTTTTCTGGTCCTTCACCATCGCTTCTTCCACATTTAGACCTGTTTAAATATCTTTGCCGTCTAATTTCTTTGTTTAAGTTTTAGACTTTTTATTTGATCAAATCCTCATATTCCTCATGATTTGTCTCATCATTATCGCCTGCGTTTGGATTCATCCGCACATATGATGAAGTAAAAAATGAAAACACTTTTAAATTCAATCGTCAGACACTTTGTCACTGGAGAAAATAAGTTTTCTTTGGTGAAGAGCAATTCATTTGATTCCGGCATTCTGGAGAAAAGTTGTTGGGGAACTCAGATCTAGGCTAATCTTTGAAGATTACATTAAAGTTTTGCTGCTGGCAGAAATAAAAATAAACGTGCCCAAAGCCTTTTGCACTCTACAGTCCATGTTTGGCCTTATCACAGGAACATGAAGTACAGAGGAAGTTGATCGAGCTGCTGGTCACGCCTCACAGAGCTCCTGGTTCTGATCGCCTTCAGTTGTAATTCTGCGGCTACAGTTTGTGGCTTATGTTTCATAATAATTATAATGTTAATTTGATTGGTTATAGGTAAATCTGTCGCAATAAACAATCAATTAATTGCTTTGTAAATTAAAATGAGATCAATAATTAATATTCTAATTAATTATTGATGTGTTTTATTTTGAAAGAAATGTCTCCCAGTTCAGTATTAAATATGCTTAAAAAATTAAAGTTTATTAGTCTTTGATAGATTAAGTCTTTATCACTGTTACTCCTCTCGACTTCAATCAAGGATCAACATTATTCTCGGACGACATGCCTTCATAATGCCCCCCAAAATGCCATCAAAACTTTAAAGAGAAACTCAAATATAGTTGATTTACATGAATAAAAGACACAAATATGAAATTTACAGCATTAACTGGAGAGGAATAAAGATTTAATCCAGCTTCTACTTTGCACTAAAAAACACCTTTGTCTTCTCAGCGCTGTCCATCACCTTCTGTGTGGCGCTGCTCATCCTCCCCCTCTTGCTCTGTGGTACGCTGATGCTGGCATGGCCTGTTGTGAATGCTTAGTCCAGTTAGCATGGTCAGATTTTGAAGCCTTAAGTTGCTTCTCCGCCATTAGCACATTTACAAGCGAGTACATGAGTTGATTGACAGCGCTAAGACCCTCCTCCTGACTCTGATTGGGTGATTTTGGTGCATTCCTTCTGACAGCCATATTTACTGAGGGAGGAGGTGAAAGAGATCAATCTTTTCACAGATGATCAGTCTCATAATGAACTATCACATGGTGGCAGTTTTAACAAATATTGAAGACATATTTATAAAAGTTACATTCCTTAAAAGGACTTTGAAATGAAGTATATTAGAGTTGGTCTGAAAGTGGTCTCAAAACAACATTAACCTTTATCACAACAATAGAGCCTTGATAATTTGCCAAAACGCAACAGTTGTGCCAGATTTGATTGACAGTTCCTATTAAAGTGAGAGGCACTGGAGAATCCCAGATGTGGTAGCACTTTACTCTAGCGATTGCTTCCTCTACAATGATCCGCAGCCGAGCAATGGTCTGGGTCTCCTCTGTCTCTTCCTTGCTGAACTGACCAGGACGCCTAAATGGTGGAATGATCAGTTTGGCTCCAGCTTCATGAAGGAGGTCTTGAATGAGGAAGCCTTTATCTACCATGACTTCATCTCCCAGCTCAAGCAGAGGAAGGATTCCACTGACCTTCATTATTTCTTTGTCGGAGACGCAGCCTGTGTACAACGCTGAAATAAATGTCACTAACCCACAGGGAGCAACTCCAATCAGCCCTTTCAGAGTGGTGTGGTTCTTGTAGGCAGAGAACGTTTCAGACTGTAAGGTGAGGGATGATGGCGTTTCCAGAGCAACTTCTGTGCAGTCCAAGATGACACG